AGAACGGCAAAATTACAGCCGTTGATCTAAAGATCAAAGGCTGCGATTTCATGCAGTTCAAAGAACGAACCGAAACCCTAGAATAGAAAAACGTCTTGTTCTCTCAAAATACTCAATGCTTTTCAAAAAGCTATTTAACCATAAGCATTGTGACCTATTATAAGAGATTTTGAGAGATCTAACCGTCCGATTTTTGCGTTCTTGGGCTTGTTGGATTCGTTGAAACTGCAGAAATATTTCTCCAGTTGACGTCAAACCCTGATTCTCCTCGGATCGAGCGAAAATCAGCCCGGAAGGAACGTGGGGCTTGGTTTCGCCGGAGTTCTCGCCGCCGGCGACTCGAGCTCGTCGGATCTTGGTTGGGGACGATGGGAAAACTCTCCAAGAGTGCTCACACGAAATATTAGAGGGTTTGGGGGCTTCGAGAGAGAAAAAGATCAAAAAGATCCTAAAATAACCTAAGATTTCGATATTTAAATGGCCTAACCCTTAGATCTACTGCTAGGATCGAATATCTCATCATTTAGGAGGGAGAATAGCCTCATGAGGCCGTGGTTTGAATTCTAAAACGTTCATGAGGCTTGAATGACATTAATTAGGTCTTAATTGGGCTCTAAATAGGTGATTTTCACCTATTTAAGACATGGTTTGACCAAGTCAACGATTGACTTTGTCAAATCAGTTAAGAGGGTCAAGGGAGCCCATGGGTCGAGCCTCGAAGGCATGAAATTGATTTAAAATTAATTTTAGGCTCTTTAGGTCAATTTGGGTCAACCCGGGTTGACCTGGTCAACCAGGTTGACCCACAGCCTGGGCCCGGGCTCGACAGACTCGACTCGACCCACTGAACCCAACGGGAAGGGCCATAGGGTCTGGCTTGGTCAATTTGACCAAGTCAACTGTTCGGGCTCAAATCTGGGCAAAATCGAGGTCAACACTATGTACAATTAGAGAAATTATTATGTGCGGTCATCTGACGGTTTGGAGGCGAATCAGAATGCGCCATGTCACCTGGTAGACACTGGTACACAACTCTCGTACACAGCTAAAAAGTGATGAGGTACGTTCTGATTCGCCTCCGGACGGCGTCTGGTGACCGCACAGAATAATTGTTACCGAAACAACAGTTATCACATCAATTATTTATTAAACTTATTTTTTAACTTTGATTTATATACCTTATCTTTTTTTTTTTTTTGTTATTTATTTTCATAAAGAAATAGTATTTTTAAATTTGGATTTTTTTTTGTTTTTTTTTTATTATTTTTGTATTTTTTAAATTTGGATATATTTATAGTAGTTTTAACTGTTGCAAGAAAAAAAAAACTTTGAAAGCCCACAAGAAACACAATCTTGAAAGGCCCATAAACCTTTTAGTTAAATACACATGTAGTTAATCTAATCATAATTATTATAAGAAATTTTAATAATAATATATTTTTTTTAATTTATGTTATGTTGTAATTCAACCCAATCATAGTTTGTAGAGCATTTGCTTACTTTTCAAAGTGGGATTACATTAATTATATTTTTTATTTTTGTTTTATATGAAACAGAGATTTATATTAATGAATCATAAGTATTTGATTAGAGAGTTTAGATAATTAACATCTTAATTGAATTTCCAATCAATCTTCTTTTGATTTGTTTTGTTAGGTGAAGTGTGTTAGCATTTTGACTATATTAAATTAGAAGATAGGGAAACTTAGGACCCACTAATAATGCATTAAGAAAGGCGTGTAGTTTATAATGTCAATTTATGCTTTATTAAGTGGTCATTATCTTGGCTTAAGCTAAAAATGTTAGAATCTGATTGTGTTGATTAATTGGATTATTTATGTTGCCTCGGACCTCAAGTTTGTTTTGCTTGTTGGGGGTGCAGGGGGTTTATCCCCTACTTGGGTTAAGGTACTTTGCATCTGGATTTTTTTTTTTCTATACAACACCCCGAAGCTATGTACCTGAGCGCCCTGGAGTTGTTCCTGAGTTCCAAAGCGCTAATCAACAGAGAACAAAGAGTCATAGAGCATTGGATACGACACCCTGGCGATGCAAGTTTGAGCTTCGCAGTGTCATCAGACAGAGGCTTGAGCACCGCTTGGTGGTTATAACTGGTTTTCTGAAAGGGTTGCATCCCTTGGTGGTTATAACCGACTTTCTCTTAAATTTCCTATTATTGCAGACATAGAGAATTGTTCATAGTGTATTTTTTGGTGTAGTGTGACTCCGTGGTTTTTTTCCTAATTTTAATTTTTTCACGTTAAATTCTGATGTCCTTTATTTTTTAGCTGCCTTTACTTTCTTGCTTGTTTCATCAGTGCAGTGTTTACTCCTCAACCCCAACAATAAATAATAGTGTGCAATGAACTAGAGTTTGTATTCAAAGGATTGCAATTCCAATTTTTTCTCTATCATATAAAGACCAATATGAAGTGCCCAAATATTTTACATGATGAAATGTATATTAATATCATTATTTATAAAGTGCATTATTTATAAAATATAGAATTTGTTTGGGAAGGCAATAGAATTTTATAAAGTTGATTGTGAAGTTACTGTGATAAATTTTCTTATTGATTTCTAATATAAATTTTTAGATGAAATTTAAAAAAAAAAAAAAAACTGTCCCCAATGACACCTAAGAGGACTCCAACGGGATCCTCCAACACCAATAGGCTCTGAAGAATTTGCAAGTTTTTTTAAAATTTTTTGGACTAAATAATTTATAAAGAATATAATAGTATTAGTGTTAAATAGAATTTTAATTTTCATTTATAATCTATAATATTTCCCTCCCCACTAGCTACCAAATACCAAATACTCATCTCTCTCTCTCTCTCTCTCTCTCTCTCTCTCTCTCTCTCTCTCTCTCTCTCTGAGACAGTTTGCTTACTATTTTTTAAACTAATTTTTTAATATAAAAATTTTCTATTTATGATAAGGGTGTAAGTGAGACGAGTCAAGTTATTAGCCAGCTCGAGGTGAGCTCAAAAAATGGCTCATAAACCGAGTTCAATAAGCTAACAAGTCAAGTTTGAGTCAGCCTTAACTCGACATGTTAAGTCACAAGCTAGCTCGTTTAAAAAATATTAATATAAACTATACTTAAAATGTATTAGAGAACAAGCCTAAAAATATGAAAAAATATTTAAAAATTTATATCTCAATTTCTTATTCAAGTTTTCTTTATTACTTTTCTTCTAATTTCTTATTCTTGTTATAATTTTATTATAATTACTATTTGAATCATAATCAATTTTCTCTCTTTCTTTAAGAATAACAATCATTATAGGGGGGCCTACTGTGTTAGAATAATCAACCAGATTAATGTCTTTAATAGAACAAGATCCACTCACTACACTTACAAACTACAACTCATTTAAAATAAAACTTAAGAGCAATTATTCTAAACTAATAGAATAAGCAAATAAATAAAAATAAAACCACGAACAACCACTGAAAAGAGCAACAATCACACATTCCAGTCCCAACAGAAGGCCACAGGCACAGGCAACCTGCAAAGAAACCTTGAGCAAAATATGGCAGAAAACGAATCCAGGCCTAATGCTCAGACAATTAAGAAGAAACCCATTCACGCAGCATCATAAACCCAGCCAACCGCAACCCTGCACAAGAAGGGACCAACGCCATAACAGGGAGAAAAAACCAAAATTAAAAAAACAAAGCCACTTAGTGAAACACAAAAGAGTCAGCTCGCTTAAGGGACCTTCGCAAGAACCCACAACGAGAACAAAGAAGACATAATCCTTTTCTCTCTTTCTTATCAAATATAGGTTCGCAAGCCAGCTCAAAATACATAATTAGTTAAGCTTGACCTCGAAACTCGATTAATAATAAGATCAAGTTAGACTCAACTCAAACTGGCATTTGATTCGACTCAATTTAACTCAAACTCGAACTCGATCATCCCAGCCACTCATCTCGATCGACTCGACCCATTTAAACCCTATAATTCTGGCTTTGAATGCTCCAAGAGAACTACAAATTGTAGATTGAGAAGACCTGATAATCAACACATAGAAGATTCTATTAACTTGACTTCTAAGGTAGCGTAGAAAAGCTGACTTTCTTCTCTTCGAATCACTTGTCTAAGATACTTTGAATCACAAATAGCGAATTTGTAGATGGATCTGTTGGTTGTTACGGGGAGGCAACTCACTCAGAATGCTGGGAGCTTGCAATAATTATTGATGACTTTGTCTTATGTGTGTTCAGGCCTGCACACTAATCAATGCAAAATGTTCCACCCCCCCTCTCTCCACACAATACTTCTCTGGCAAAATGATTTGCCAAATATCTTGGGTTTTAATTCTCTTGAACATGATTTTCAAATACCTAGGGCGTCCCCATTTTCCAATAAAAAACTCAATTCTTCTCAACTGTCAATACCACTCCTGAGCAGGATTCTCTCTAACTTGTGGTTGGACAAGTAAAATTTCTTTTCTTTTGCTCAGGTCGTATCTCAATACTTGAGATTCATCTATTGCATACACTTGCGCATACTGGATTAGGGACGATCTATTATACCAAAACCTACATCAATATTGATTGATAGGCTTGCTAGCATTTCTTTATCATGGAGCTACTGAAGGAAATAAACTTACATTTGGTTGCTTGAAGAATACTGTCTTCGCAACTTGTTTTGAGGTCTTAGGGACATCTCTAGTATCCATTCCCTTTATCATGGTCTCAGGCTGTTCTTGTTATTTGGAGAATGTAAATTCCTATAGCTCTGTTTTTGAACTGGTGCAGAGTCAAATATACTTAATATAAGAGGCACCGATACAACAAAATCTTATGGATCTATACGTCTCCTCTACATTGAATAATGTTATACGTTCATATATCCGCTAGCATATTACTCTTATGCGACTGATAATAATTTGAATAATTTCTTCAGATCAAAATTCGTTAGTCGAGCATGAGTACAAGAATGATATACTCTTAAGAATATTTTAGATTTTGATGATAATAGCATTCTTTCTTAATAATAACATATAAGCAATAGAGATAATAATGTTTTATTATGTAATTTATAATCGTATAGATAATTATATACAATATACGAAATTTAATTTATTCATGTTACAGACTTATGTTAGAAGTTTAATATTTTTTTAAATAACATAATTATGTGATAAGTTACAAGAAATGATAATTATACTACTCATAATATTCTTATAATTTTCATTTATATATGCTTTCATAAACAATTATGTCATATATGCCTTTTCTAGATTAATATTCAAATTCCTTCTAGTAGGGAATAACTATGTGAGCTCCAAAAGTCAAGGTAGATTTTCTATCTTGATTTGTTATATAGTTTGAAACTTTCAAAATTTGACTGATGAATAAAATACATAACTTTCGTACTAATCTACTTAACATTCAACATATAAATAATGACAAGCAAGAAAAAAACTCATAAGCAAGAAGCAAATAGTGATCAAAATTTACGATGCTATCTGCTTTGCCTGGCTTGTTTTAATTCTTGTGTTGTCCATGAATGACTCCGTCATCCCAACTTAGGCCTTCGAATCCCTTCGTTGGAGGAAATATATTATTTGTGTAGTCTAGGAATATGCCAGATGCAACTAGCGTTCAGACATCCACCGTAATAATTTTCCCTTCCTAGTCTCCTTTCCTCAACTAAATCTCTAGTTGCAGCTGATGTACCGCTTCTTGCCCGAAAAATCTTGTTTATTCTTTCACATAAGATTGATAACGTGAATAGCTCATAGCGAGATGGTGAGAAAAGTGATGGTGTGTGAAATATCAAGATGTAGAGTGGGTGAGGAGGGTAGAATTTTGATATTTTTTTTAAAAATTTATTAAATATTATGGAGACTTTAAATTTAGAACATTAAAATTTGGAAAATGATACTTTTTTAGTGCTATAAAAAAATAAACATGTAATAATAAGTGAATAAATATAAATATAATCAACTTAGTCCATATCTACGAATATTATAATCACTTGGTTCTCAATTGTCTTCGCCTTCTCCTTCTCACTTTTGACTCTTGAAATCCAAAATTTTCCCTGCAGCATACCTTTCACCTATAAATACCAGAATGCAACAGAGAAGAAGCCTCACATCATAAACAAACCAAATTTCCTCAGCTCAGTTTCTGATCAGTTCTCAGATCCTTCAATGGATTCAGAATCTCATCAGATTCAAGAAGAATAGAAGCATGCAAATCATGCCTTAAAAATATGTAGCATGGCTGTTCTTCCATGACTCCTCACTACAGCTTAGAACTCGCCTGTTCAAGCTTCTTCTGCTGCCTGGGCCTGGAGCTCAGCTTTCTGCAGAAGAGTTTGCAGCTAAGCTGATTAATGATTCTACAAGCGATTATACTGCTTTGAAGCTTGAGAGGATTCTTCGTCTTCTTGCTAGCTATTCTGTTTTAACTTGGTCGACTGAGACTGATTCCCATGGCCGCACTGTTCATCGCTTTGGTGCTTCTCCTGTATGCAAGTTTTTAGCTCCTAATGAAGATGGGAGTTTCTTTTAGCTGCACTCGGTCTTATGAGCACTGATAGGGTCGCCATCGAAAGCTGGTGAGTAATTTTCTAACTTAAAAACAGTGAGAAGAGTGCAGGAATTTGGCTGGGCATTTGTTGGATGAGAAATTGTTTCTCTAAATTAGTCAGCCTCTTTTTTGAGGAAAAATTATTCTGTTCATACGCCTAATGTCGTTCGGAGACCAATCAGAATATGCCACGTCGCCTCTTTTCTATGTACCACGGCTCTATACTGCTCGGTACCTCTGATGTGGCAGCATCTGATTCGCCTCCAAACATAGAGCTGCATCTTGCCTCCGCACAGAATAATTTCTTTTTTTTTTAGGGTGCATGAACAAAATAGGGTTGGAGTGCACATAATTTTATAGGTGAAATAGAGAATGATTTGGGTTAAATTTTAAAATAATTCCCCTACTATTCATATATAGGCATTTAAGTTTTATAACATTTATATAATTTAATGCTTTGATTATATAAAATTATTTCAAAATGATTTCTCTTGGATTAAATTTAGCTCAATTTTATATTATAATTATAACACAACGAATTATTTCGGATCAATTTTGTATAGCGGAATCACTAAATTTGGGCAATGTGATAGTCTATGATTAAATTAGTCATACGTGAATACTCTGGAACTATTTTGAATTTTTTATGAGAAGAATTTCTTTTTTTAGAATTTAGACTAACACAATTATGAAAAATGATAAAATAGTTAAAATACTTATCATACTAATTATAAATAAAAAAAACCAGAGTGACAATTGCCCATCCTAAGCTCTTCATAAGTTTGTAATTAGAAGTCATGAGTCCCCCTAATCTTTATTACAAAAATTTTTACGCAATTGTCCCAACACCAAATTAAAAAAAAAACTTTATTATATGATTCTCTAGGTAATTTATACAATTCAATTTATTTTTTAATCTTTATTACAAAAAATTTTACGCAATTGTCCCTCCTAAAAGTTCTAAAATACTATGATCTTTAAGCAATTGCCTCCAATATAATTAAACACATTATGTAGAGGTGTTATTCTTAGATAACGGTGAACCAAATACAAAAAGAAATAGTAAAAAGAATCCAAAAATATCCTTACAGTCAAAGTTTATTGGAGGACGGTCCAACCACGCTAAGGAGCGCTGCCCCCTTCGATCTCTGACATATCTACGAAGCATACAACGATCAAGGATATGAATAAATAGGAGTCGTGCCAAAATCTACACTTTTACTTATAAGTTTGTCCCCTTGAAAATTAGACAGGTTATGCCCTTGATTTCGGGTTCCAAATAAATGAGTTGAATGAAAAGTTGTTCAAGCTCATTTATTTAGCTATCAAATATTTTCAAAAGTACTCAAGCTCATTCGTTTACATTATCAAACGAACGTAAACGAGCTCTTATCGAGCCGTGCCACAAGTAGCTCGTCGAACGTTCGGTTGATTTGCTGCCCTAACTGCATTTATATTTTATGATTTATCACTTATTATTTTATTAAAAAAATAACTTAAAAAATTCATTTTAATATTGTTCGATATTCCATTTCATGGTAAGATAGAATCATAAGAGTTTTTCTTATAGCTGTCACGTTCTAGTAAGGTTTTGTTTGGGATAGCTTTAGAAAACAATAAGAAAGATGTACTAAATTTAAAACTTATTATGAAAAGCTTATTTTCATTATATATATATATATAAGCTGTCCCAAAAGATCCTAAGAATGTTTTGGGGTTTTAAACCCATAATTTGCTAGATTTGGCCATTTGTAGGATTTGATATATTTACAAAATTCTTCTCTCATAAATTTTAAATTTTGAAATAAACAATCAAATAGCTAGCTTATTAGGATTTAATAAAATTTAAAAGTTATTATGTAAATAATTTTCATATTTTATTTCTATTAATACTTACTAAATCTATAATAATAGAATTTACTAAGGGTCCATTTGTGGAAGTTGCAATTGTCTATAAAAGATGTTGTAGAAGAATTGTGTGGAAAGTATATTTTTTTCAAATTTGTGTGTGTATCATATTTTTTTTTTCTTTTGCAAAAACCATTAACTTTCTCATAGCATCTCACTTTAGTAGATCTATTATAAGAAGTTGTTCCTCATCATATAAATAGGAGTGTCAATTCGGATCGACGAGTCGGTTTTGGGTCAAATCCGAGTTGACCCAGATATAAATGGGTCAATCCAAACCAGACTCATTTTTGCAAATGGGTAAGACATTTCAACTCTGACCTGATTCGTGCGGGTTGCTGGGTTGACCCGACACGACTCGGATTTAGTAGATTTGGTTGAAGAAGCACGAGCTGAGCGCCTGAGCTAGTCCGCGAGTGCGGGTAGTGAAGTCCGAGTCGCGAGCCGAGGGAGTCCATGGGATCGCGAGTTTGGGCAGAGTTTGAGTTGTGAGCGTGTGGCAGCAAACAAAGCCAGTAGGTATGTGAGTGCGGGCAGAGTAGTCCGTGGGAATGCTAGTCGAGCGGAGCCGTGACTCGTGAGCACGCTGCAGCGACAAAGTCCGCCGGACTGTGCAGTGCGGTCGGAAATCCGGAGTTGTCTCCAACTTTCGGGTCATTGTCGGGTTGATTTCTGGTTTTCAGGTCAACCCGAACCTGACTTGTTTTTAAAATGAGTAAAAAATCCAAACCCGAACCCTACCTGTTTGCTAACCGGGTCAACCTGAACCCAAATTTTTTCGGGTCGAATCCGAATCGAGTTTCAGGTCTTGTCAAAAATTAACACTCCTACATATATACTAAAAAACTATTTTAAAAAGCAGTAAGAAAGTTGTTCCAAACAAAGCCTGCATTTGGATTCACAATATTTACTAAGGCTTCGTGTTGGACGGCTTTCTTACTGCTTCTTAAAGCAGTTTTTTAGTACAAAATTTTTTAAAGAACCAGTAAGAAAGTCGTCCCAAAGGAAGCCTAAATCACACTAGTAGCCAAACAATGAATGAAGTGACGGCGGAGGAACCCTAAATCGCCAGAGCGCTAGGGCAAAACGAAGAGAGAGGAGTATGTCATGTTTTGAAATTTACATGAGATTGAGCTCTTTGTTATTCAGCGTTTAACTTGATTATCTTCATTCATACGATGTGTTTTATTACTAAGGCTTTATTTGAGACATCTTTCGTACTGCTTCCTAAAACAGTTTTTTAGTATAAAATTTTCTAATTCAAGAAATTTTTGTACTAGAAAGTAACAAAAAGCTGTCCCAAACGAAGCCTAAGACTTCTTTTAGAATAACTTTCTTACTTCTTTTTAAAGTAGATTTTTTGTACAAAATTTTTTTTTTTTTGTGTTAGAAAGCTGTTTTTTGCTGTCCCTAAATGAAGCTTAAGTGCATCGAAAATAAATGTTTTTTATGGCTTTTTTTTTTTTTTTTTTGAAAATTGAGTTATATTTTATTGATGTAGGAGTGGAGCATGTTGGTGGAGATGTGTTTGAAAGCATTCCAAGTGGAGAGGCTTTGTTGTTGAAGGTGAAATAAACCTAATATTAACATAATTATAATATAAATTGTGAAATTAATTTTGGTGAATATTTTTCATAAATTTTAGTTTTAAAATTATTATTATTTGTTGAGATTAATATAATTTACTCAAATGAGGTTGTGGTGTAGTAAGGTCACTTGATGCTCAAATTATTGCAAAAGATTATTATAATATGCAAAAATTAATTAAATTTTATATTATATTATGTCCAAATAAACTTAATAATTATGAGAATGATTTTGACATAAAATTTGATTTTTTTTTTTCAATTTAAAGGAAAAAAAAGATTGGGGGTTTGATTCCTTCAAAAAACAATTATGGTGCAAACTTATAATTAGCATTCGAAGCATTATTTATAGATCTATATTTTCAATATAAATATAAACTAAAAGCATTCAAAAATATATTTTTCAAAATACAAAATTTCTTATATAAAATATCAATAGGAATTAGTAATCATTATAGTAATATTTTTGGCTTAGGGTCTGTTTGTGATAGCTTTCTAGCTATTTCGCTTTCAGCACTGCAATCAAAATTTTGTTTGGCCATTGTTGTTTTGCTACTTTCTCATTGCATTTTAGAAATTTGTGTGGTGGAAAGTAATATTTTTGCAACTAAGGCTTCGTTTGCGATGGCTTTCTTACTGTTTCTTAAAGCAGTTTTTTAATACAAAAAATTTAATTTTTATACTAGAAAGCTGCTTTAAGATGCAATAAGAAAGCTGTCTCAAACGAAACCTAAAGTAATGACTTTTCCCACAACAGCTTCACAACCAACTTTATAAAACGCTACAATCATCCCAAACAAACCTTTAATCTATCTGACTAATAATTAGGTTGGTTCAATATATTGACATAATTAATTAATTTGAGTTAATAGAATGACCCAATTAACCAACTTGGTCCAACTTAAATAACATATAGCTCTTTTTTTCACTAATTTTGATAATATTGAGATAAAAAAGAAATTGGTTTAGGAGCATTTTTATACAAAAAATACAAGCTGTCAGATTTGCTTTGAGATTAGTACAATTCAAAATATCATATAAATGCTAATCTCAATGCAAATTAAACAGCTCAGGACCCATACTAATGTATTTCACACTTTTTTTTTCAACTGTTATGTTCATTTTAATCAGATTTATAAAGAAAAATGAGCCTGATAAATGATTTTTCTGATTAATTATCAATAATCTGCAGTCAGTTCTTCATGACTGGGGCGACGAGGATAGCCTGAAGATTCTGAAGAACTGCTGGAAATCAGTTCCAGAAAATGGCAAAGTGATAGTTATAGATTCCTTTCTTCCTGAAGCTCCAGACTACACAGATCTGACACATTGCGTCCTGAACACTGACGTGATAATGCTTCTGGAGAGTCCCAGTGGCAAGGAGAGAACAGAGAAAGAGTTCAGAGAGTTGGCCGAACTCTCTGGATTTTCTGGTTTCAATGTTATCTGCAACTTCTCCAATGCTTGGATAATGGAGTTGAGCAAATAGTTCACCGCAGCTTATTATCTTTGTTTGGGACGATTTTTTTATTGCTTTTTAAAGTTATTTTTAGTATAAAAATTTATTTTTTGGTACTAAAAAGCTGTTTTAAGAAGCAGGAAGAAAGTCGTCTCAAGCGGGAGTCTCTTTTATGTGCTTTCTGTAGCTATGTATATATGTTATGGGATGATAGAATTCTAAATGATTTGTAACATAAGATTTCTATGAGATTATGGAAGTTAAATAAATGTTTCAGGCAACAGGTTCTGCTTTCTGAATCAGAGAGATTTGAGAAGATGAAGTGATGTTCAGAATGTCTGCAGCATAATTGATTCTGTTAGGTGGTTAGCAGAGCTGCGAAAAGTGATTAATGGAAAGTTGGAAACCAACAATGCTTTGTTTTTTAGTATGAATAAGCAACTTTTTACTATGAGAATGGGAATTGAGATCATTGAATCTCATCATTTTCTCTTTCTCTCTCAGCTTTTTTGAAGATGCTATCCAAAATGAAGACATTAAGCATGCAATGAAGGTTTCGTTTGAGACAGCTTTTTTACTGCTTTCTAAAAAAATTTTTAAGTTCAAAATTTGTTTAAACTGAAAATTTTGGGTAATAGAAAGTTGCTTTAGAAAATAATAAAAAATCAATCCCAAATGAAGCCTAAGACCATCTCCAACCGTTCGGCAAACAGCCGAATGGAGGCCCTTAAACATCACAACCGAATGCCTTTTCCTCCACCATTTGATTGCGGATGAACAGTGCGACGCCAATATTGACGTCGCACTGTTCATCTGCACCATTTTTTGTCTGCGCGAAAGAAGAGAGTGACGGCTATGGGACAAAATGACGTTCGATTGGAGAGGAATCATGGCACTTTTTTTTTTGTTTCACTGCATTTTGGAGTGAAAAATGAGATTTTCGATTGGAGATGCCCTAAGTGTATGATGGAGGAATGAAGTGAAGAAGTTTCGAATCATTGCAGCAGCAGAACGGTGAAATCAATATTGTATTGAATAAAAGGATGGATTATAATATTACATGTAGCAGAGAACAGAAAGGAGGAAGTGTGTACAATTGGAGAAATTATTATGTGCGGTCACCGGACGGTCTGGAGGCGAATCAGAATGCGCCATGTCACCTGGTAGACACTGGTACACAACTCTCATACACAGCTAAAAAGTGATGTGATGCATTCTGATTCCCCTTCGGACGGCGTCTGGTGACCGCATAGAATAATTGTTACTGAAACAGTAGTTATCGCATAAATTATTTATTAAACTTATTTTTTAATTTTGATTTATATACCTTATCCTTTTTTTTGTTATTTATTTTCATAAAGAAATAGTATTTTTTAAATTTGGATTTTTTTGTTTTTTTTTTTATTTTTATTTTTTATTTTTGTATTTTTTAAATTTGGATATATTTATAGTAGTTTT